TCATCTTCCAGTGCTTGGAATAAATATTGGCATTAGGGAAGTCTATAGGGTTTTGTTTTTATTACAGTAGTACTTCTTTCCATGCCTGTACATCACTGGAATTGTGTTCAGGTCACAAGAAGGCTGAAATGACTGTATTTTTGCGACATTAAATGTGTAACAGACTGTGGGAAAAACTGCATCTCTCTGATTTCTAAAGACTTTGTTGGAAGATCTTGCCTTCAGGGTGTTCACAGCTTTCCTAAGTTTTCTAGAAAGAAATATAGTCTGCCTTGAGTTAAAACATTTTAGTATGTTTGTGGGCAGATGCCTGGAGCCATGTGAATTTGGCACTTTTTGTGGACACAGTCTTGAGACTCTGGTGTGGCTCTGACTTGCCTGTGACCATCTGCCCAGTCGTGGTGGAAAAGGGGCTTTTCAGTTGGTGGCACCTTGCTCTCTGCAGCTGCCCTCCAGGGCTCCGGCCAGCGTGTGTTCCGCAGCTCGGCCCCAGCATGAAGAGCGATGATGCTCAGAAGCAGCAGACCTTTGGAGCTGCCCCTCCTGCTTATGGGGGCTGCTGCACAGAGTCTTGGGCCAGAAGGACTTTCTTGACTCTGCTGTCAACAGCCTGTCCCGTTGCCCACTTGCATTTATTGTGGGTGAAGCCAATGGGGGTGCAGGGGCGCGTGTATGAAAATAAATGGGCTGAAATCCAGGAGATCAGAGGAAAGGAGGAAAGGAACCTGGAGAAGTGATGTGGAATTCAACTCCTGCAGAAGACTGATGGTCAGGTTGGCATTTCAGTACAAAATAGGAATGAAGTTGTAGCCTTCAAGATCTCATAGTGCCCCTGTGATCCCCTTAAAGACTGCATACGGTAACTTCCTGCCTTTTTAATATGGTTTTGCAATCTTGCAGCTTTTAATCTTTTCTTTTTGAATATATGTATATCCATGCTTGAAGAGGCTGAATTACATCAGAGGCAAAAAGTCTACTGTTTAGACCTGCACTTGGACAGTGTAATGTTCTTGCCAGGTCTTCAGAAAATTGGTTAAATTAAAATGGACATTGCTGCAAACTGGCATTGGACTGTATAATCTTTTGCCAATTGTGTCACAAGTTTCTCTCAAAAATTGTACATATTGAAAAGAAAAACATCATGATGGGCAACTGCTCTGCCTTTAGAGAATACCAACATCTGTTGGCCAATGGCATACTGTTTGCCAAAGTCACTTCATACAGAAGGAGTCCAATTGGTGTTTTTCGCAGAGTCTGATTATTTCTGTGACCGTCACCTTCCTCAAGCAGAAATGCTCTCTTCCTGCAGTGGTATGTGGTGAATGGCTCTTCTGGCTGCTCTCAGGACCCTTTACTGTGTAAGCAGATATAGCTTTTTATCACTGGGAGCTCCCAGTCAGATACATAATCACAAAAGCAAACTGAGAAGTAATTCTGGGGTTTGCACGATAGATCAAGTGTTCTTACCGATGCACCAGGGCTGAAAAAGTGAAGTGTGATCAAAGCAGCACACTGGAAAAGTCAAAGCCATCATCAAGCTGCTCTATACTGGTAAACTCAAGTTTTCTCTGTTTAGGTGCATTTTTCTGTTCTTGAATTCTTTCCTTAACAGCAGGATATATTTTTATTCTTCTGGAGGGATGAACTTGAAACTCCAGGATATTTGACTATTGATTGAAACTACTCCATTTGAGGTTGAGATGAGACCACTTGGGATGTTTCCCAGACCCTCCAATGTTGAGTTGCCCAGTGTTTTTCCAGTGAGCTGGGAAATACACCACAACTCGTGGGCTGAGTCTAGGGATGGTCCTGTGGTTGGGCTCACTGTGGCTAGAGTTTACTCTGTAAATCTATGGTGCTGCCTCGGGAGGAATCTCAGTGTGATCTGGATCTCAAAACCAACATGAAGTCAAGGTCTGTCATCCAATGTTCTAACGCTTGGTTGTTCATATGAAATGTGACAAACTGAAACTGTAGCTTGACACTATTAAGGTTGTTGTGAGACCTCAGAAGTCAGCCAGAGGTTTGACTTGCCAGTCTGAGATGCAAGACAGTAACTTGTAAGAAATGAAACAGAAGCCTACATCAATTTAATGAAATTGTTCCTTTCTCTGAAAGAACTCTTGAAGTAGAGTGTGAAATACAACCCGGGCATTGACTTCATCTCTCTTCTCCTCCCTGTACTGCTGCCTCAGCATTCAAATTTTGAAAAAATAATTTATTCTCTGCAGACATAATGAGGCAAAACCTAAAGCGTAGTACAGAAAGGCTGTGACTGAATATTGGGAAAGAATCTGAGTCATGCCAGCAGAAGCTGCTCCCTCCGTGGAGCCAGCTGACTTGTCTGTAGTGTTTATAAATCCTTCCTGGACAGGAGCTGTCGTGCTCCAGGCTGTCATCGGGTTACGTCTCAGCTGGAGGACACTGCTTAGTGATGGACCATCCCGTGATAAAAGAAAAAGGGTGTGGGTGGGTGGAGAAGTAACAGGGAAAAAGGAGGCAAACAGTGCTGCTTCCTCCCCAGCAAGCCACCTGAAACCAAACCAAAAGCCACTGCAATTGCTTGTAAGAAGGAAAAGGTAAAATGGTTATAATTAAGCCCAGGAGAGAGAAGCGGGGGAAATGACATAGAACCTAACATTAACAAGAAATTGGTGAGTGATGTTGCTATGAATGTGGCTATTTAAATGGTATGGGCTGTTACTTCAGACTGAGACTAATAAATGTACACATCCCTTTGTAACATGCAGAACCCTGTCTGGCATGTCCTGCCAAGGTGCTCATTGTCCTTGCAACTCTTCTAGCAAGTCCTAGTGACGGTTGTTTTTCAGATGGGTTTGATACCACCTGGGCTCAGGCACAGGCTGGAGGATCCTTCTCTTTCTGATCACAGTTTATAAAATAAGGTGGGGAGGTCCCTGAAATGGAGACTATCCCCCTCACATAATCTTCTTATTAAAAGCATTTGCTCAATTTTTCTGATTTTGGTGCTTCCCTCTGTAAGGGAAAATTTTCCCACTGTTCCTTTCTTGCACTTGATGCCCCCAGCCTCTCTGTGTCCCTTGGATTCAGGGCAGGCATTTATTCCTTTCCTCCCAGCAGAGCTCTCCCCATTTCCTGCTGCTCCAAAACAGCCTAGAGCAAAAGCATTTTCCAAGAATGTTTTCATTAATGAAGAACAAAAGTTGGAGGTTTCCTTGACAGACTTGAGAGGTGGGCCTGTGCGAACCTCTTAAAGTTCAAGTGCAAGGTCTGAGGGCAAGTGTGGTTTGGGGCAAAACTCAAGTACAAATCCAGGTTGGGCAGAGAATGGATGGAGGGCAGCCCTGAGGAGAAGGACTTGGGGGTGTCGGTGGGTGAGAACTTCTTTGGTGTGAGGGTGGTGAGAGCCTGGCCCAGGTTGCCCAGAGAAGCTGTGGCTGCCCCGTATCTGGAAGGGTTTGAGGCCAGGTTGGAGGGGGCTTGGAGCAACCTGCTCTGGTGGGAGGTTGTTGCATTTAGTGAGACCACTTCTTGCCGTGTCTATAGTCCCAACACCGGGTACACGAGCAGCCTGTCTGCTGTAGGTCCACCTGCTTTTAAAAACAGCAGTCAGGTGCACTAGTAGTATGGTTTATTTTATGCAACATATGCAGATTCTTTAAGATTGCCAGTGATAAATGCACTAAGCTGCAGAACAGCTGTGTAGCTTTAAAGATACGATTGTATCTTCACAATTGTAAAGATTGTATTTCCCAGGTGAGCACTCAGTGTGGCCGAAGGAGCAAATCTTACCAAAAAGGCATATCCCTTTTTGAGGGGGCAGGTGAGGAGGACTATCCCATTGATCTTGGGTCAATGATCTTGGGTCCCGACAATTTGGCACTGGATTCTTGTCCCTCTGTTAGGTGTGAAATCAGGGTAATATTTATACCCCTGTTGTGCAGAGTGGGCGGGTGGGACTGTGGTCAAGGCATCCTTCTTTATGGTTGCACTGCCAGTAATTGCACAAAATGTTTTTTTTTTTTGTGAAGAGCAGAACCACAGAATCACATGGGGTTGGAAAGAACCTCTGGAGATCATCTAGTCCAACCCCCAAAGAAGAAAGAATGGGACCATGTGGCCTTCACTTCATGTCTCGCTCCTCCCTGGTGCCATGGCGACACAAACCACAGGATCTTCACCCAGTTTCTGTGTCTGTTCTGGGCACCAGGAAGGTTTCAGCAATACTGAGCCTTGCTACTGTTTGTGCTTCCAACAGAGGTGTCCCTGCCCATCACAGCAGGGCTGGAACTAGATGATCTTTAAGGTCCCTTCCGACCCACACTGTTGTGTGATGCTCTGAACAAGGCCGTCCTACCTCCTGCTCCAGACCATGCATGAAACCTTGTGGATGAGAGCAGCTGCGGAAGGGCAAGCTCCGTGTGTAGGTCCAGGCTGAAATGGGTCACTGCCCCACAGCAACCTGTGTTGCCACATCGCTCCTTTTATTGGCCTGATGTTTCACGTCTCTGGCCTTAGCTTCCAGAGTTGGGTGGTTTTACTGGTTATCCAAGTGAGCACGTAAAAAAGAAGCAAACATTCCATATTATGGAGAGGGGAATGACTCACTCCCATGGACTCCAGCGTAAAAGAGAATAATAGGAAAAAAGGAAGCCAAATGGCCTGGGAAATCTCATTATTTCAGGTTTTCTTTGTTACCTTGGCAGATCCAATCTCCTTCTGAGATGACGGGAAGCGGTTCGCCCTGCAGTTCAGCTGCCCTTGTCTCGGGATGAGTCTCCATCCATGAGACGTTCCTCAGCCCCGCTGTTTGCTGGTGGCACGTCCCAGCTTGCCCTGGCCGCCAGCTGCCCTGGTGCCCGCCGCTGTGGCCAGCTCATGTTGGGTGGGGGACAAGGTGACTTGCTGTGCAAATAAAGGGGATGAGAGGCTGCCCAACTGGGTGGGTACGGCTCTTCCCCATTGTCCTCAGGCGTAAGCCAGTGCCACCCACCTCCACCCAGGGACTTGCCCTGCACGCTCAGCTCCTGTAGAGACAGCTCTGCTCCCGGTGCCCCAGGGCTGCTCTCATCCCCTGGAAACCTGCCCGTGTGGTGCCCATCGGCCACCCAGTGACCCCCAGTCACGGGGCTCGGCCACACCTGTGCCATTCACAACTGTCTTCACCTGCCAGCGGGAAGGAGGAAGAGCAGGAAGAAGGGGAGGGAAGGAGGAGGAAGAGAGAGGGAGGGAGGGAAGGAAGGAGGCTGCATTTAGCACCTACCCCTGGGCAGCTAGAGCCAGACGGCTGACGGCCACCGCAGGAGAGACTCACAATGTCCTCAGCAACTTCCTCTGCCTCTTTGCCCAGCGGCCTGAGTGTCCTGACGACTTTCCCAGATGTGCTCTTCATTCCTGAAATCGTGAGTGCCGGCTTGTCCCCAGGGAGGGCAGGGGCTGGGGCATCCCGCGGGCTTCCTGCGGCAGGTGTCGGAGGGATGGGGCCTGACACAAAGCGTGTGGAGCATCAGAGTGGATATCAGGAAATTCTTTTTACCCTGGAAAGGGTTATTAAGGCTTGGAATGGGCTGCCCAGGGAAGTGGTTGAGGCACCATCCCTGGAAGTTTTCAACAGACAGGTTGACACAGTGCTTAGAGACACGGTGTAGTAATGTGTGGGGTTTTTCTGGTATGGTTTTCTTTTGTGTGTTTTGTTTTTTTTTTTTTTTTATCAGAGTTAGGTTGATGGTTGGACTAGATGATCTTAAAGGTCCCTTCCAACCTAGACGATTCTATGTGGCTGAGGAACCACACCAGATGCCCGAGCCATAGGGGTTTGGGGGCAGCCCCTGAAGCCCAGTGTCACCCTCAAAGCCAGGATCAGGGGGGTTCTGGAGTGCTCCTTTAGTCCCCAGTGGGATTTCCATGGTGCCTCTGAAAACCTTTTGTAGTTTCCTGCTTAACAAAGCTGGAGGGGTTGCTGGTGGGTTTAAACTAGGTTGCCGAATTGAGCCAATTAATTAACTGGAAGATGATTTTAGCAGCTGATACAGGCAGAGGATAAACTGCTTGCCTGAAGTAGGGGGCAAGGGCTGGCTGTTTGCAGCAGCAGAGCTTCAGCTGGAGGTGCCAAGTGTGGGACCTGGGTGTGTGGCCAACGGTGGGTGAGCCAAGGGTGAACAAACACCTCGTAACTTCTTCCTATAGTTTAATTTCATTGAGCAGGAGGAGATTATAATCTTAATAGATTTGGCATACAGCAAAGGAGTTGCTGTGAGCACTGACTGAAAATGGAAAGTTTCAACTAAAACATTTTTCCTGTGTCCTCTGTCCCTGTCCGTGAATCCTGCTCTCCTTGAACAGTTTGAGAGGCTTTTTCCAAAGCCTGAGTACTTTCATCCAGCCTTGAGGGGTTTGGCTGAGTGCTGGAGGAGGGCACTCAGATTATTTCATGCTTAAAACTTTGCCATCCGGGACCAAATCCTTCCCTGTCACCCAACTCAGTCCACCCTCCTGGGATTTACAGTATTTACTTCGTTCTCCCCGTGATGTAGTCCCAAAGTGGAGTTGTTGATTCCAGTTTCTGAAGTACATCAGTGCCAGCAGTCAAGCAAAGAGGAACTGGGTTAAAGCAGGAATTGCCGATGCGCGGGGAGAGCCTTTGCTTCGGCTCCTCCAAATACCCTCTGGGGACTTGGTCCCTGTGCCCAGGTGTCCGAGAGCGAGGCCCAGGTTTCCTGCAGGTGCACAGAGGGTGGCAAAGTCCCTGTGAAGGTTCTGGCAGGGTAACGCTTGCCAGCCATCCTTGTTGCATTAACCCTGGTGCCCAGTGTGCGTAGGGTACCGGTGCTGGTACCGACCCGCGCCTTAAACTGTAATCGCTGCCTCCAGCGAATTTGGCAAGGCAGCTTGCTTAATGAGACAAAAATAAGCAGCCTGTCCTTGGGTTTGGGTAAGATCTGGAAATGCACATCCTAAAGGCTCAGGAACCATCGGGGCTGAGGAAGGAGGAATGCTGCAGAACCGGATCGCTCCATCTCGGGAGGTGTGGGGCTGAGGTGGTGCTGCTGTATTCTCTCCCTGTGTACAAAGGAGGTGGCTGCCTTGAATCACAGCATTCAGAAGGATAAAGAGTTTCTCAATCCTTAGTGTAATCTGAGGTTTTCTGCAGCGGGTTAACATGGTAACAAAAAAAACGACGACAAAAAAAAATTTGGCATTTCAAATGCTAAGGCAGTTGCGAAAATGCCAGCAGGTCCTTCCTGGGGCTCAGATGATTGCCACATCTGATGTGCTGATTAAGAACTACCGTTTGTATTCTGTAAGGCTGGGTTTAATTCTTGTAATCTGTTTTATTTGAAGAGCTTTCGGCACAAATGGGTAGCCAGGCCTATGCAGAAAAGGTGAAACAAGCTGAAAACAGATACTTTTGCTTTGTTAAAGGCTATTTAAAAGATAATCTTTTCTGAGACTGCTGTCCCCAACCTGCTGGGGGTTTTTATTGAAAGACTCTTGAACCCTTCCTCATTTTTATGAGTCTGCTAAACAGTAACACTGTAGAACCAGAGTCGGTAAACAAACTATGTCAAACATACTGGCCTGAATGAGAAATCACATCCTGAGAAAAGAGAAACGGGGAGTGGTAAGAAACGAGAAGTAATACTTCTTCCCCCAACCCCGTCTCTCACCCCAGCTGTGATGGATTTTCATGGAGCAACCACAAAGTTTTCTCCAGGATCTTTAGCTGCAACGCAGTCATGGTGTCACCACAGGAGTTATTACAGGGACTGGATTAGGGTTTGAATGTCAGTCTTTGGTTGTTACAAGAGGCACCACAACAGCAGGACTTTGGAAGACATATTTTCACTCAGATATTTGCAAGGTCTCAGGCACCATCATTCATTAATGTTTCAGTTTGTGTAACAGAACCAGTGAACTTTCCTACAGCTGTGGGGTAACACAAATGATGTGACACTTTTTGAGTATCATAAATCAGAGACTTTTTTTTTTTTTTCCACTTGCAAAATGCCTCCAAGGAAATGGAAGTGCCGTGATTTGTATGAGTTGGCACTTGGATGCTGGCAAAGGCTGGCCTGGGCTACACTGGCGATCAGAATGACCTTAAAGTCAGTGAGGCTCTCCTACCTCTGGAGACCTGCCTGCAAAATCAAGACCAACCAGCGATGGGGGACAGGTCCCTGCAGCAGCACTGATCTCCACACGGTGTGGGTTCAGCTGAGGAGCTCCTCATCGTAGGATGCTGAGAAACTTTGCTCCGGTTCAAGAAACAGCTGGGCTGATTTGTAGCAGAGAAAAACTACTGAGTGCTTTTTAGTGCAAAGACACCACTTGCAGCTGGGACACTTCACAGCAGTGGACATCGTGCTCTCATCATCTTGGGTAGGAATCTGCTCGTGGAGAAAGGATGGAGTCTCAATATAGCTGTCCTTTTGTTCCTCACTCCACCAGAAAACCCACAGCAAACTCCTGAGGCTGAGAAGGATGAGGTCCCAACTGCTGCCTGACCATGGTGCCGGCATAGCCAATGAAGGATGATCTGAACCGCTGGAGCAGCAATACAGGTCCCCCTTCTCAGGAGGAGCTGGGAGCCTCAACCTTATTTGCCTTCCTCAGAGAGTAAAACTGGCCCTACCACCCCTCTGCAGCCTCTTCTCTCTCCTTTCAGGGAGACATTTGCACGTGGCCTTCATTAGGGCCACGGCTGGGGCCTTCATGGGGCCACATGGCTGTGCTGTCCATGCAGGTGGAGCTGGGTCTGACCCTACTCTTTTCAGGGATCTCGAGCTCTGGGTGTGAAGCAAACAGGCCCTTCTGAAATAAGCCTCCCTCTTCATCGAAACCAGCCTTCCGAAGTGCCCCAACCGGCCTCCCGAGCAGGTGAATGGCGGTGACACCAGGAAGCAAGGCTACAGCTGGGCTTGTTCAGGTCAAGGTCGTGGGCAGATGCTCCCAGCTAAACACCCAGTGGAGGCTGAGAAGAACTCGCAGGCATCCCTGGGCTGTTGCCATCTGCAGTGCTAGTGCCAGAGGCGCGGGTGGCTGGTGGCTCTGCTCTGGACAAGCCCATCTCCTCCATGCTCACCTTTTCCCCCACTTTTGCTTGCAGATCTTTGGGGGCCTTGTCTGGATCCTGGTGGCGTCCTCGAAGGTCCCGGCACCCATACTGCAAGGCTGGGTGATGTTTGTCTCTGTGTTCTGCTTCGTCATGTCCACCGGCCTCCTGTGCCTCTACATCTGCGGGGCGCACGGGGGCAGCAGCTCCTGGGTCGCCTTGGTAAGTGGATGTGATGAACCTCAGGGCCTCTCCCCCTCCCTGGTGTCACTGGTGGACAACCATGGTAGACAACAAACCCCAAATTCCAGGGGTTTGCTTGTGTGGGTTCCTTCTTTTTTTTTTTTTTTTTTTTTTGCTTCCTAAATAACACAACATATATCCAGCTAAGTATGTGCAAACGAAGTATGCTTTCTTCAATTTAGCAACTATAGCAGCTCAAGAAACTAGGGAATAGTCTTGGGCGGGGTTTTTTTTTTTGGTTCTTTTTTTTTTTTTTTTTTTTTTTAAATTTTTTTTTTTCCCTTCGCCATGTGCTTCTTGCTTGGAAATGACTGTGTGATCCTCCTCCCTTAGGATGCCATCTGCCAGGTGACAGCGGCTCTGTTCTACCTCAGCGCTTCCGTGCTGGAAGCCTTCTTCACCTATAGCATCGGCTTGTTTTCTGCCAGCCCTCTGGTGATGACCATCTACCAGGAGAACATTGCTGCTGTGGTGAGTGCCTGGCGAGGGAGGTGAGGGCGGGGGACAACCGTGGAGGGGCCACAAGGGCAAATCTGCACCAGGAGAGGGGAGAGAAACCGGTCCCAGTCCTACTACGCATGAACGTCTACAAACATGCAAGAGTCAATAGAGATATAACGTATCACAAGGTGTTTGCTGAGTGTGGGAACTTCTAACATCTAATAAAAATTTAACTGGCTGATGTGTTTTTCCGTTGTAGGTATTTGCATTCTTGGCTACCCTGATGTACGTGATCCATAAGGTGTACTCGCTCCTGCGATGGAAATCATCCTAAGAGCCTCCTCCCCTCCCAAGTGTGTCTTGTGGTCACCCCATGAATGCAAAAATTGTGCGACGACTGCGGTTTCCAGGCTGGGTTTGGGTTTTGATTTTTGATGTATATACTATAAACAAGCAGCTTTTTATGTGGGACCATGGCAACGAAGACAAAGGGTCTGCCAGAGAAGGCAATATCCTGGTGCAATCTGTTTCCCTTCCGTCTCTTCTGGGTTGGGTACAGTTTGATGCTGGTAAAATTGGGGCCCAAATAGAAAAATATCCAGTTTTAAAAAGATAAAAATAAAAATGTAGATGGATTCAAAGTGCTAAAATCTCCCTGAACCACACCTTTATGCCCCCAGGGTTGTTACTGCTGGTGGGGGAAGCCTGGACAACCAGCACTAACAAACAGGAGTATGAAACCTGGTCATGTTAATTGCTGCCCATCCATGTGAGCCTGTTTTCCTCCCTAAACCTGCTGTGCCAAAAGAACATTTTCATGCAGTTTCCGGAAAGGCCATCTATGACTTGTGATGAGAAACGGGGGTGATATTTAACTTGCCTCAGGGCAACAGGAGTTATGGCAACCCCTGAAAGGCATTGATGAATTATGAGGCGTGAGCATAATGCCAGCAATTAATTACCGCTGCCTTATAATCACCCCCTGCAAAATACCACTGGGAAGGTGCAGGGCAGACTGTAGGAGGGTTGTAGGGATGACTGGAATAAGAGCCAAACAACTCTTTGGTGCCTGGCTGCTCTCGCACACCCCAGCACTACGTTGCTAAGAGAGATGGGTTTGCTGTGATTTTGCAAACAGACAAGAGTCGTTTCTGCCATTTTTCTCTTTGCTGTGCAGCCCTGGGGGCACTGCCCTGGGCCACGGCGATGCCTGAGGAGGAGGCACAGGCTTGGGCAGGAATTCAGAGGGCTGTTCTGGGAAGGGGAGCCTGTGCCCAGGCCAGGGGCTAAACTAACTCGGGTTAATCTCAGTGACAATGTTCACCTGAATGCTTAAATTACTCCAGAGCGTTTACTTGAGCGAGCGTGCTGGTCTGGGCTGGGATGGAGTTAACTTTCTCCACAGTAGTGAGTATGGGGCACTGCTTTGGATTTGTGCTGGAAATTCAGAGATGTTTTCGTTATCCCCGAGTAGTGCTCTTGCGGAGCCAAGGCCTCTTCTGCTCCTCACCCCACCAGTGAGGGCTGGGGGTGCACAAGGAGCCGGGAGGGGACACAGCCAACCCACGAGATGTTCCATACCCTACAATGTCATGCTCAGCAACAAAAGCTGGGGGAAGAAGGAGTGACGTATGGAGTTGTGGCATCTGTCTTCCCAAGTAACCATTAGGTGTGATGGAGCCCTGCTTCCCTGGGGGTGGACAACCACCTCCCTGCGATGGGAAGTGGTGAACGAATCCCTTGTTTTGCTTTGCTTCTGTGTGTGGCCTTTGCTTTACCTATTAAACTGTCTTTATCAGCCCACGAGTTTTCTCACTTTTACCCTTCCAATTCTCTCTCCCCCATCCCCCCGGGGGCAGCGAGCGAGGGGCTGCGTGGTGCCGTGGTGCTTAGTGGCTGGGCTGCGACAGTGAGTTAATTCAAATGGGGTTTAGACCCAAGAAAGGGTATTTTCATGTTGGAGATGCCTGACTGTAACAAACAGTGGTACCCAATTAGCCTTCTAGCTTGAGGGGCAAAAAATGCTTCCATTTCAAGTCTGAAGTTCCTGGACAATAGCAAGGACTGGAGAATGGAAAGGAAATAAAAATTGACTTGGAGGCATCTCTGTTGCTTTTTGCCTTTGACCATGGGTTTGGGTTGAAGCTTCGTAACTGCAATGTCAGGAAACCATTTTATTTTTTTTCTTTTTTTTTTTTTTTTTTTTTTTCCCTTGCTGAAAAACCAGCCTGACCTGTTTTGCTTGTGTTATTGTGGGACAAAAGCAAGCTGATATTGCAACAGAGGTGGGAAAAAAAACCACTTTTCAGAGCAGGGAGGGAACTCACAGGAGCTCTGGACAATGGCACTTGGTTCTGAAGGTTTAACGTGCACCTGTCAAAACTGGTTTCAGCATCACGTCATCATGGGAGGTGTGTGTGGGGCGGGGGGGAGGGGGGGCTGGTGCCCAGATTTGCTTCTATTGATGCCTGTGAATATAATATTAAAACACAAAGACACCTTTCTGTTTGGGTGTCTTTACAAGGGCAGACGTTTGTGGTCCTGCCCTGGGATGCGATTGCTCTGTCCCCCCTCCTGCGTGGCCAGCCCCTCTGCGCCCAGCAGCACCATCTGCCCCCTCATCCCTGTCCCTTGTGGAAACCACGTTTGCAGCCCATGTCTTGGCAGGGTTCCCGTGTCTCTTCCCCAGTTCTTTCCGCATTGCTTTGCCCTTTCATTCTCCCTTCCCTGCCACACACCAGTTTACACCAGTCTGCACCAGTTCGCCTCCTCATCTCCTTTTCTGCTGGCTCCTCCCGGGTTGCTGAGATACCTTCCCCCCCAACCCCCCCAGCATGAGCCTAACCTCGCTGTAAACCGTCCCTGGAAAAACCCAGCTGGGTGCTGCTGCCACGGGAGAGCCCATCAGCCCCACCGTGGCCAGGGAGGGGGCTGAGAGGAGGTTGTGGCCATTGCCCCATGGCCCCAGCGTAACCTGGACCAAGGCAGGGTGAAGAGCATCCACATGAAGTGCTGCAAAGCTGTGCCAGCCCTTGGACACCCTCCCAGCGTGGCCCCAACATCGACCCCCCTGCAGCTGAGGAGCTGCAGGTGAATGAGCCCCCATTCGGCACCGGGCTGCTGTGCCCCAGCATGGGACAGTGACACCCCGAGCTGTGGCTTGGTCCCACCAAGCTGCTGAACAGCACCTCGGTCCCACCAGGCTGCTGAACGGCACCTCTGGGGTGCCAGGCGAGCTGGGGCGATAGGCATGGTCCCTGCACGGTGGAAAGATGAGAAACAGAAAATGCATCGAGCACCCTGAGGTCTCCATGGTCCAGCGTGCCCAGCCCTCCCATCACCCCAATGCAGCCATGGAGACCCACCTGCCCTGGAAGCTGGGCAGCCCAAGGCTGCTGCCTGGAAAATGGCAGGCTTGAAGGGAGAGATGCTGCATGGAACTCTGAGAACCTCACAGGACCTACAGACCATCTACCCTATGTGCAGCAGTTCTTGCCCCTACAGAAAGCCCTAAGGATAGCACTGGCCTGAGAATTTGCTGTTACCCCACTGGAACGTCCCTCTCCCATGGAGAGAGCGACTCATCTGGGGTTAATTGCCTATTGCCCTGGCTCCTCAGAAGGTGGGACAGCTGGCTTTGCCCGGTGCTGCTTGCAGAGGGTCTGCCCTCCAGGTCTGTTGACCCCAAGGCACGGGTCGTCCCTGCCCACGGAGCTGCTCCCAGGTCTGCTCCATCCCAGGCTCTGCATTTGCTCAGACATTTCCAGATCCCCCCAGACTGTCACCTCATCTCCAGCAGCATCCTCTTCAGGCCATTTCATTCATCCTCCCCACCCCTGGGATCCCCTTGCAGATGTAGCAGCCCATTTAAAAAGCCACAAATGAGCCCTTTTTTTCTGAGCACTTAGTCCCATCACACTGCTAAAACCCACAGCCACCACCAGATTTCAACTGATGGTGTAACTGGAGTTTCCATCTCCAGCTTCCTCGGCTAAACTCAGTCTGCAGGCATCTACTCCAGAGAGCAGGCAATTAGACTTTAGTTAAAACCATCCCCTTGAAGGCAGGAAAAACCTCAGCTCCTGTGATAGAAACAAGATGACAGATGTATCATTCACTGACCAGGCCCAGATTGTAATCTCGCTTGCTCTTGCTTAATTAAATACCTTCTTAACAGCCATGTTTGCTGTTCCCCAAGTACTTGTATCTCGGATACCTTGTCTCCAGTGATGCAATGAGTTAGAAGCACTTCCATCTTCTCCCGAATTGAAGCAGAAGAATTTGCTTTGCCCGTTAGAACATTTTGACCAGCTCCATTCAGGAGTTTCTGGTGTTTTACCGCCTGTGAGCGAACTGTGTGCTGAACCTGTATCAATATGAATAAACTTGTGAAAATGGGAAACCCACAAAAGATGACTTCTATGAAGGGATCAGGGCTCCATGTGGGTCTGTGACAGGGTCTGATATGTGGCTGGCTGGGGCTGCCTCCCCCTCTCCACACCTGACCATGGTCCATTCCCCACCTCTGATCTCCACACTCAGACCACAGCTCCCTCCTGCTCCTTGTTCTCCCTTAGGCCAAGAGATTCAAGCAGTGAAACCCCATCTGCTTGGAGGACAGGGATGGAAATGCCTTTTTCCTGATTGATGGAAGTGCTCAAACATGAGTTATTGTCCTGATGGTCCGAGAAGAGCCCTACATCTCCTGCAAGGAGCAGAGGCAAGGCAGAGGAGTCCCGAAGACTCTCGTGGGAGTAGATGAAGTGTAGGTGGTGCAGAGACCTTGGGGAAAGAGGGAGCATGGTGGTTACCACATTACTATCTGAAAAGGCAAATGGCTCCTCATTCTGGCTCAATTCTGCCATCTCATCCCACAATGAGGAGATTGCTGGAGACCTTGACATGACCCACATCCCCACGTTTTGTGCAGCAGTGGCCTTGTATGATCTCCTGTGGCATCATCACCATTCTTAGGCCAGAACATGGGGGGCTTTTGCAGGGAAGCTGCAGGACATCTCCAAGTGTGGATGCAAACCCCTGCAACCAACACGCGCCTTACTCCTGATCCTGAGAAGAGAGAAAACGATCCACCTGCTCTCTGCAGCTCAGGCGGCAGATGTGATCCAGATCCTCACTTCAGGCTCTCTGGACTACCCAGGCTGGGGCTGTTTTGGGCCAGCGGTGGAGCCAAATCACTTCAGCTCAGTGTTTCTGCACAGGCAGAGGCAAACTGAAGGTCAGCAGCGGCAAGATTTGACTCCTTTAGCCCAAGGTTTCTTCATTCTTGATTTTGCTCAACAGTCAGATGTCAGCTAAATGTGAGCATAGACTCTCCAGCAGCAGTGTGATCTGCTGCTTACGAGGAAGCTTGCAAGCACAACACTTGGCATCCTGTGGAGGGTGGCCTATGAATTAGAAAGTTCATTAAATTCAACTTGTCTCTTTGTATATACACAACCACTGTCTTCAGAAACCTGCACTAAAATCAGTGCAAAATATTGCTCCTAAATGTCTTCAACATCAGAACTTTGAATGTAAATTCCGAGGCTGGTCTTTAGTAAAACAGGTGGTACAAGCAAAGCTTCCTTTGGTGCACACAGAGGTGCCATGAGAAGGACTCACAGCACAGAAGAGAACTCCTGAATTGTTGTATCGTCTGGATTGCTGTAACACTCCATGATAAAACACCATTTGGGTTCAGTTCCACTGTCTCTTTTGCCATGGCCAAGACAACAAGATGGAGTTGCCAGGTAGAGCATTCTGTCCTCGCATACGATTGCAGATTCTGTTTATCTTTTGGTGGGAGGCTGGTGTGTACCATGGACTTGCTTTTTCCTTTCACCCTCTGACAGCTGACCCTCCTGAATTCTGGGTCCAAGACTCTACTGTGCTCAGTACCAAACTGGCCAAAAATGAAGCTAAGTCTTATCTCAGCAGACATGCAGAGGAGAGCACCGTAAGAAAGGCTGGGTTTTGGACTGGACTTCCAGTGCCGGTCAGAACACTGCAGTATCCCACAGGGGACTGTGGGGTGGCTTCCTCAGATATTTGGGCTGCCTCATTTGGGATAGTGTTTGCACAACTCCAGCTGCTGCCCACCATCACGTTACCCTCCCTCCCCGCCCCCCCAGAAAGCACACAATTTCTACTTTCTGATTTCACAGTTCCCCCCCCATAATGAGTGAGCCCAGGGGGTGACTTGGAGAGTGCACACATTAACTCCCACCACGGCTGCTTGCTTCAAGGTCTCCCAAGACACTGGCATTTTGCAAAAGAGGCCCCACACCGAACTCATTTTGAGGATTCTTTATTGCTTTCCCATCCTTATCTTTTCAGCAGTTTCCCAAGAGCTTGTGAAGGAAACATGGGATCTGTGGATTAAACATCATCTTCAGGAATTGAGTAAATGCATGCTTGAAGACAAAGTCGCGTTCCCTGGCTGCTTCCATCCAAATGTCCCTCGTTGAACAGTGGTCAGAAGAATTGTGGGAAAGTGTTACTGAAGAGCAGCAACAGGAGCAGCAATACGAATGGCACGAGAGAGCTACTGCTGCCCTCCTCTGAAATGTGAGCTGAGACAACCTGGGCGTTTGGCCTGGGCTCTCCAAGCTGCATCTCTGAGCAGAAGAGACAGAGGGACTGAAGTTTTTACCATATTGTCCGTCTGACATTTGCCCAGGGAGACTTCTTCATTCCCTGAGCTTCTTTCACATCACTCCACTCCAGCTTTGTGTCTGGAACCTCATCTTCAGGCTCGGGATCCTCGCGGACAGTCCCTTCAGGCAATGCCACGACGATGGGCA